TGTCCCGTAGTCCTGTGTTACCCCTTCTCAACCCTCCTGTCCCCCAGCACAGCCTGGCCCGGAGTAGCCCACCCTGTTCTGTGTAGGAGTTTCACACATGTGGAACCACAGCCCCAGGCAGGCCCCTCAGCACAGACCAGTGTTGCCCAGTGTTGCTTCCAGGTCACTCCACCCAGCAGCCATCACTGAGGAGTGGGAGTGATTAGCGCAGACCCTGTACCATGGATGGAGAGCCCTCACTCAGAAAGAGTTCCAGGCTTTCCTGTTCTCCTAGCCACCAAGGGAGGGCCACTTCTGTGCCCCTCTTTAACATCACCAAGGACAGGACCCCACAGCCTGTCCTGGGACCACGGTAAGTGGTTTCTATAATCATTTTTCTAGTGGGCCAACAGGTTACTACACAGTTGCCAGAATCAGGAAATTGCTGATTTCCCTTCCCCACATCAGCCAGCCATGGGCCAGTCACACGAGAAGGGTCAGTTGGTGGGCTCAACACAGTGGTGGCAAAATGTTGGCCAAGACACTCTGCCTAGGTCCTGAAATCTGCTCTGAGTGTTTATTTCCAAGGACAGCTAAGAATTTTGGCCTCCCAAGCAAGTGACAGCAAGAGTTTATTTCTTAACTACACAAATACAGCCCTGTAGCCCTGTTCAACGTCAGACAAGTTTGAGCCAGAGTGACTTTTTTTTTTGTTTTTTTGAGACAGAGTCTCACTCTGTCACCCAGACTGGAGTGCAGTGGTGTCATCTCAGCTCACTGCAACCTCCACCTCCCAGCTTCAAGTGATTCTCGTGCCTCAGCCTCCCGAGTAGCTAGGATTTTACAGGCATGAACCACCACACCCTCCCTAATTTTTGTATTTTTTAGTAGAAACAGGCTTTTGCCCTGTTGGCCAGTCTTGTCTCAAGCTCCTGGCCTCAAGTGATCCACCCACCTTGGCCTTCAGAAGTGCTGGGATTACAGGCATGAGCCACTGCACCCAGCCCAGAGTGAATGTTTTATACAAAATCCATATTTTATTGGAGCCTTTGAGAGCTCCAAGGACACAGACCAAACCTGGATAATCTGGGGATAAGGACCCCTAACCTCCCATCTCCACACTGTATCATATTAATTGATTTGTTATTTTAGGCTCTGGGTCCCCAAACTTTGAGCAAGATTAGCTTGGATAATAGCTATTTCTTAACCCATTTCTTATTCCTTTATTGGTTCAGAATCTTCTCAGAGACCTCAACTTTGTAAACATAAAAATATTTATACCTAAAGAGCTCAGCTACAATGACCAGCTGCTCTGGGAAAACCAACAAAGGTTCTGAGGAATCCCTTTTGCCCAGAATGGGGAAGGGGAGGGAAGCTGTTAGGCCGAGGAAATCAGATGCGTATGACCTACTTGGCGTTCAGGAGGGCCTGGGACTCCTGGTAATGTGTAGCAGTGTGTTCAAGACACTCTCCCTAAAGTCCCGGTTTCTCTCTCATACCTGATGGTCTCTCGGAGAAAGCAGATAATAGACAAGGATAAAGGGCATTAATTATAAGATCCAAGCGTGACAGAAACCCTATTGGAAAGAACACATCTCTTCAAAAGACTTACTAGCCATTTGGAACTGTTTGAATAGAGTTTAAATTTGGGAGGGAAACCATTAAACCTTGTAAGAAAGAAATGCCAGACCAAGAGGGTTACTTTATAGACACTAATTTGATTGACTAGGTATCTCCTGTTTCTGTACTACACAAAAGCTCCTTCCTAGATGCAGACACACACACACAAACACACACACACATGTGCACACACACACACTCTCCCACCACTTGTGTACAAACATGAATACAGAGACAGGAAGAAACACAAATTCGCTTTTTTTCTGCATAATACTCAAAACCATTGCGTTTCTAGCACAGCTGCTGCTGCAGGAGAAAGAAAAGCGCTTGGCCCCAGAGTCTGTTTATGTATTTGAGCCGAGAAAGCGATTTTTGTTGCAAGAAGCTCTAAGTGAGACAGAGTCAGAGAATAAGAGAGAGAGAGAGATAATTATCTAAATTATGTTCATGCTATTATCGAAGACGAATATAGTTAAAATGTAATTAAATATGACGGGCTAGCAGGATGTAAGCCAAGCTTTGGAATGCTAATCATCAATTACTGCATCCCCTTAGGGGAATCAAGAAGGCTGTATGGCAGAGTGGGAGCAGGCTTGGGGCTGGGGGACTGAGTGAGACATCAAGTATTAAAACAGCCCGCTCCCCTGTCTCCCCACGTAGTCATTCAAACCGCTATGAATGTTCGTGGGAAACAGGCCTTTCTTTAGCTGCCAAAGTGTTAAGACAATGAGGAGCTGGTGGGAGGGCCCTCCCCCCTCTTTAAGAGGCAACCCCTCCCTCTAAAAGGGAAAATTATGCTATGAGCACAGAAGGTAAAACCCAAGACTGACTCATGTTAGAGCAGTAGATGCAAGTGCATTTACCAGACAGAGGTCTGAAGTTCCTCCTCTGCCAGAAAGCATCAAATGCTCACCTACCTAGATCCAGGAATCCCAGGAGGGAAGTCAGGCAGGGAGGTGGAAGTGGACTGTAGTCGGGACAGAAGATGCCACATGTCCATGCTAGCAAGCTGCCCCTACCACTCAGTCCGCAACCTGGGCAAGAGGCCTGCCTTGGCCATACACTGAAATCACCTGAGGAGTTTAAAAAGGACTTGACCAGGGTTTCCCCCACCCCGAGATTCTGAGCTTTAATTGTTGTGGGCTGTGGTCTGGGAGTTCAAAAGTTTAGCTCTACGGGTGCTTCTGATGTGCAGACAAGGTTAAGACCCACTGGTCCGGCTATAACCAGACTTGTGCTAACCATAGCCAAGGGGAAGGCAGGCAGCAGGAACTGAGGACTGTGTTAGCTCTTATGTCCTTCCACAAACCTCATCTGTACCTGTCTCGAGGCCAAGAAGAAAACAGTATAAGGATTTACTTTTCTTAATCCTAAAACGTAATTTGTATGTCAGTTCTGGTGGTAAATCTCCAAAGAATTTTGAACTTGGTGGGATTACTGTACAAAAGTCCATTTTAACACTGAGCTCTATCTCAGGCTGGGGTAAAAACTTGGCCACCTCCTTGGACCAGATGAGTGATGTGAGGGAGTGCAGCAGGCCAGGGCAGGCTGCAGGGAGTAAGAGAGACCACCAAAGGCTCTCCTCAGCCCTAGCTGTTGTCAGGCAGGGAAAAGGACTCATGCATGCCAGATCTTCTGGTTTTCAGGAGAAGTGAGGCATCTGCATTTTGATGTGAAATCTCCCAATGTTTAAGTGGCAGCTCACTCAACTTTTTAAAAAATACTTAGTAAACCAGCAAAGTATGTCTGTGAGGCTCCCGTGTGTGACTTTTGATCTTAGTGAGCCTTTTGCTAGTCAGCACGTGGCCAATCACTAATTCCCATAGTTCCTAGCACAGTTTTCTGCTGCCTCAGGTCTGCAGTCAGGTTAGACCAACTTGGCCCCATTTTTCCTAAGCCTGACACATAGAGTGTCTCAATACATAGTTGTTGAACGGACAAACAGGGTGAATGTTGCGAACCCAGAATTCCCTGTAAGTCTGGGCAGCGAGACAGCTGTCAAATCCAGTTAAGCATCATACAGAACAAAAGAATTTACTCCTGGGGTGCCAGATTAGACAGAGGCCTGCACACAGAGTCTTCACTTTAGACTGGTATCAGAGATTTGGAGCCCAGGAATCTCTTCAGAAGCGAATAAACAGGATCTGGGCTGATTTTGTATCTCTGCCATATGGGACACCCTCTCTAGCTCTGCCTTTGGGGACCCAGCGGAAACAGACATGCAGGCCTGGTTTCAGGGCTATTAAAACGCAGTAATTCCCACCTCACCCAGTGTTCTGGAAAATGCTCTCTCTCTCATATCCCCAGTCCATAGATCATCTTTAGATATGATTAAAGAGATGAATGTGGTCCTTGGCCCATCACTACAATAAGAACAATAAGAACAGACAATAAGAACAGCATGCTTGGAGGGACGGCGGGCAGCTGTGGGGTCAGCACAAGAGGCTCACTCATAAAGAACTGTCAGAGGGATCTTCAGGCAAGTCTCGATGCTCACTCAAGGCCCTTAATACCTCTCATGGCTCAGTGCCACACGACTTAGAGAGGGCACCACCGTCACTGCTGTAAGCTCAGTTGACAGGGGACAGCTTTTATTATTTCCTCCCTTTTCAAGACTCTGTTCCAAAGGTTCATGCCTGCCTTCCAGCCCTGCTCCAGAGGCTGTAAATACATCTGCTTCCCGTGTACCTTTTCTGCTCCTTTTACCACAGACTCTGCTCCCTTTCTTAGGCTCCACTTTTGTTTAATTGTAATTTTTAAAAATTCTATCAAAGTTATACGTGGACAGAGTTTTGAGAGTGAAGTAGAACCACAAGACTTACAACAAAAAGAATCAGTCCTCTGCTTTACCCTCCCTACCCCAAGTCCCACTCTCCAAAGGCAACTGCTTTGCTTTTCCTTCTTCTAAAAATTTATTTTGAAAAAGCAATATATTCCAAAAAATAACATTTAATGTGATTTAAAAATCTAAAACTGTAGACAGTGAAATGTTTCCCTCCTACCCACCTCTTCCTCCAGAGATAGTTTATGCATAAACAAGTATATATATTCTCCACATTTACTTTTTTTTCCTCCAAAGTTTCAGTGTAATTTTATTTTACTTTTAATGTTTATTTATTTATTTTTGAGATAGGGTCTTGCTCTGTCGCCCAGGCTGTCATGCAGTTGTGCAGTCACAGCTCGCTGCAGCCTTGATCCCCCAGGCTCAGGTGATCCTCCCACGTCAGCCTCCCAAGTAGCTGGGACTACAGGCCTGTGCCACCACACCTACCTAATTTTTTAGTTTTTGTAGAGACAGGGTCTCACCATATCTCCCAGGCTGATCTTGAACTCCTGGGCTCCAGGAATCCTCCTGCCTTCGCCTCCCAAAGTGCTGGGATTACAGGCATGAACCACTGTGCCCAACCTCAGTGTAATTTTAGAACTCTTACCAACTTTGGATTCAGCTAATAACATGCCATTACATCATTGACCTAATTTTCTTTTAATACAGATTTTTCTGTACCTTGAAGATCTCTTGAGTTTCCTCCCTCTCCCCATCTCCCACTCCCCAGCTCACAGTCCTTCATTATAAGGATAGGGATGTACCATAATTTACTTAACTGGGTCCACAGGGATGAGCATTTAGGTTGTTCTCTTGCTGTTCAAATGCTGCTGCAGTGCAATCCCTATTCCTGCTTCTCCCCTATGCTGCAAGCACATCATAAGTTAAAGCAGTAAAAGGGAATTGCTAGCTCTAGGGGTATGTGTATTTAACATTTTGCTAGTTGAGGATATGTCAACTTGTACTTCCTCTGGCAGTGTATTAGAGTGCGTGTGTCCCCCACACTTTGTCCAACATAACACGTGATCAGACTTTTAGATTTTGAGGCCAACATAGTCATCTCTTTTAGACTTTTTTTTTTTTTTTGGTCTGTACCTTCATATTCTAAACTATATGCTTGTTCTACTATTTCTTAATTACATTACTGGAATTATCTGTTGTGTTCCTACTTTGAAAGATAAGGATTTAGCTTCATTGCCCTTCTTGCAAGTACATGCATGCTCCTGTCTGCTCCATCCTCCTGTTTAGTTAAATCACAATTTTTCTTTGTATCAGATTTCTCATTGGCATTAGGATGACTGTGTAACTGTTGTTCAGTACACAACCAAAAAAGGTGCTGTACTACGACCACCTTTTTTTTTTTTTTGTCATTTGTTTTTCCTCGAGTTAAAAGTTGCTTAGTTTTGTGTATAACTATCATTCATTAATTTTCTGTGATTATCGCTGATTCTTCCCCCTAACTTTTGTCAGAGCAACGCAAATTCTTATAACCTGGCCTAACACATCTGATCAGTTAGTTTCTCTTTCTCCCTTGAGATGTTCCCATGTGCTGCCCGCCTTACCTCTCCAATCTGGACTAGTTGTGCTGTGGGCCTGTTTTACAGCTCTCATCCTGGGATCTCCCATCCCACTATCTTAGGAATTCCTCTTGCCTTTATTCCATGTCATATTCTCTGTTTTGTGGATCCCATAACTTTATTTCTTTCTTTTATTTTTAGACAGAGTCCTTCTCTGTCACCCAGGCTGGAGTGCAGTCACCCAGGTTGAAGTACAGTACCACAGTCTTGGCTCACTGCAACCTCCACGTCTTAGGTTCAAGGAATTCTCGTGCCTCAGCCTCCTGAGTAGCTGGTACTACAGGTGTGCATCACCATACCTAACTAATTGTTGTATTTTTGGTAAAGACAGGGTTTCGCCAGGTTGGCCAGGCTGTTCTCGAACTCCTGTCCTGAAGTGATATGATCCCATAACTTTCTTTGTCTTAAGTTAGTCCCTTTTTTTGGTGGAACACATTTTCTGTTAGTTTCTTGTGAATGCATTGGAGGTAAAGTTTTTATTTTTACTTTTTAAAAATTTTTCTTCACATAAATACAAAGAGAGAGGATGGAGGTGAATTTTTTTTAATGCCTCAATGAAAATTTCTTTATTCAGTTCTCACACTTGGCTTCATTTGTCTGGGAATATTCCTATGGCTGGGAACAGTCTCATGGCTGGGAACAAATTTTTCTCTCAGCATTTGGAAGGAAGTGATTCATTATCTTCTGACCCCCAATGTTGCTTTTGAAGAATTTATGTGAACCTGATTCCCAGGTCTTTGTGATGACCTGCTTTTTCCACCTTCAGAACTTTTAAGATCTTCTGAAGTTTCTAAATAATATACTTCAGTGTGGATCTTCTCTCATTTCTTGTAATGGCTACTTAGTGGGATCTTTAACCTGGAAACTTATGTCCTTCATGTCTGGGAAAATTTGTTGTGTGACTTTGGCAATTTCCTAGCTCGTATTTTCTCTGGACATTATATTTTTTACTGGAACATGTAATTAGATTATGGAACCCTCATTTGATTCTTTATTCTCTTATACTTTCTCTTCTATGTTTTATCTTTGTCATTTGATTTGACATGCTGGGAAGTTTCCTCAACTTAACTTTCTAACCCATTTGTTGAATTATTTATGTCACTCATAGTTTTAATTTACAGGAGCGCTTTCTTGTTCACTAAAATGTCCCTTTCCATATCATTTTATTTATTCCTTTTTCAAAGATGGAATAATGCTTCCTTTTATCTTTCTGAGGATAATTTAGGGTTTTTTTCCTGAAGCTTTATTCTGCTTACTGAATTGTATCGATGTCCCCTGAGTTATTATTTTTCTTTATTTGCTGTTAGTTTTTATCTTTCGTGTTACAGTCTTTCTTTGGTGATCCTTGACTGGCTGTTTCCACCCTTTTTTGGAATATTTTAAACAGCTTTATTGAGATATAATTTATATACCATACAATTCACCCATTGAAAGTATACAATTCCATGGCTTTAGTACATTCAGAGAGTTTGCATCCATCACCACAATCAATTTTTGAACATTTTCATTACTCCAAGAAGAAACCACATACCCAGTAGCTATCACCTCCCAATCCCCCCAATTAACTCCCCAGCCCTAGGCAACCCCTAATCTACTTTCTGTCTCTATATTCTGTACATTTCATATAATGGAATCATACAATACATGATCCTTTGTGATTGGCTTCTTTCACTTAGCAGATTCATCAGTATTATGTTAATAGCATATAATTAAAACTCTTATTATTGCTGAACAATATTCCAATGTATAGATATACTACATTTTATCTATTCATTCACCAGTTGATGGACATTTTGAGTTGTTTCCATTTTTTTATTATGAATAATACTGCTGTGAACATTCGTGAACAAGTTTTTGTGTGGACATGTGTTTTCATTTCTCTTGGGAATATATCTAGAAGTAGAATTTTTGGATCATATTACACCTATTGAGCCATTTGAGGAAGTGACAGATTGTTTTCCAAAGTGGCTACACCATTGACAATCAATCCCATGAGCAGTATATAAGGGTCCAATTTCTTCACATTTTCATCAACACTTGTTACTATCTTTTTAAATTTTTTCTTTCATTGATACACAGTGTTTTACATATTTATGGGGTACATATGAATGTTTTTTACATGCATAGAATGTGTAATGATCAAGTCAGGTTATTTGGGGTATTCATTACCTTGAGTATTTTTCATTTCTATGTGTTGAGTAACATTTCAAGTCCCTTTTAGCTCCTTCGAAATATACATTATGTTGTTGCTAACTATAGTCACCCTAGTCTGCTATGGAACATTAGAACTTATTTCTTCTATCTAACTGTGAGTTCCTACCCATTCACCTCCCTTTGTTCATTTCCCCCTCCCACCCTCACACCGTTCCCACCCTTTGGCATCTATCATTCTGTTATCTATTTCCATATGATACAGTTTTTTTAGCTCCTACATATGAGTAAAACGTGGGATTTGTCTTTCTGGGCTTGAATTATATCACTTAACATAATGACCTTCAGTTTCATCCACGTTGCTGCACATAATGTGATTTCATTATTTTTTATGGCCAAATAGTATTGTATTATGTAAATATAGCACATTTTCTTTACCCTTCCATCCACTGATGGACACTTAGGTTGATACTATATCTCTGCTATTGTGAATAGTGTCACATTAACATATGAGTTCAGGTATGCCTTTGAAAATGCTGACTTCTTTTCCTTTGCTCAGATAGCCAGAAGTGAAATTGCTGGATCATTTGGTAGATTGTATGTTTCCAGGAATTTATTCATTTCTTCTGGTTCTATTTTTAGATTTTTTAAAATTTCTCACCTTGAAAAATAGTTGCAATTTTTTAAGAAATCGCCACTCTATACTGTTTTCCATGGTGGCTGTACTAACTTAATTTACATTATCACCAGCAGTACATAAGGGTTCCTTTTTCTCTGCATTCTTACCAACACCTGTTATTTTTTGTCATTTTCATAATAGCATTCTAACTGGGGTGAGATGTTACCTCATTGTGGTTTTTATTTACATTTTCCCAGTGCTTAGTGATGTTGAGCAATTTTTCAAATACTCTTGGCTATTTGCATGTCTTCTTTTGAGAAGTATCTATTCATGTCCTTTGCCCACTTTCTAATGAGATTTTATTTTTGTACATTCTGGATATTAGTTCCTTGTTGGGTGAATAGTTTGCAGATACTTTCTTCCATTCAACAGATTACCCTATCACTCTGTAGATTATTTACTTTGCTGTGCATAAATGTTTAAATTTAATATAGTCGCATTTGGCTAGACCAATATCCTGAACTGTTTTCTGTATGTTTTCTTCTAGTATTTTTATAGTTTCAGGTCTTACATTTAAGTCTTAATCAATCTTGAATTGATTTTTAAATATGATGAGAGATAGGGGTTCAGTTTGCTTATGGATATCCAATTTTCCCAGCACCATTTATTGAAGAGGGTGTCCTTTCCCTGGTGTAAGTTCTTGGTTCCTTTGTCAAATACCAGTTGACTGTAAATATGTGGATATGTTTCTGGGTGTTCTAGTACATTCTGTTGGTCTTTGTGTCTGTTTTTTACTCATACCAACTGTTTTGATTACTATAACCTTGTAATATATTTTGAAGCCAGGTAGTGTGATACCTCCAGCTTTGTCCTTTTTTCTTAGGATTGCTTTAGCTCTACTGGCTCTTTTTCGGTTCTACCTGAATTTTAGGATTTTTTTTTTCTATGTCTGTAAAAAAAAATGACATTTTGGTTGGGGGTTGTATTGAATCTGTATATTGCTTTAGGAAGTATGGTCATTTAATGATGTTAATTATTCTAATCCGTGGGGATGAGATGAGTTTCCATGTGTTTGTATTCTTTTCAGTTTCTTTCATCAGTGTTTTGTAGTTTTCCTGGTAGAGCTCTTCCACCTCCTTGGTTAAATTTATTCCTAGGTATTTTTTTCCATGGTAGCTATTGTAAATGTGACTGCCTTCTTGATTTCTTTCTTGGCTATTTCATTATTGGTGTATAGAAATGCTACTGAATTTTGTGTGATGGTCTTGTATCCTGCAACTTTACTGAATTTGCTTATCACCTC